TTGAGTAAAAAAAAAAAAAAAAAAGCTCAGGGACAGTGCCCAGGCCCTGAAGCCCCAGGACTAGTGTAAAAAAAAAAAAAAATGGAAGGAAGGAAGGGAAAGAAAGAAAGAAATTTAATTTCTGTGTGGCTGGTGGTGAGCCTTTAGTATCTTTCTATCTGCTTTTGGTTTCACTACCTGATTGACACATGCCTGTCTCCATTTGCTTTTACAATGGGAGTGGTATCTCCTGACCTTTCTCCTCTGACTGCCAGGCCCTAGAACATTCATATCATCAGCCTGGATTGACTGGGGTCTGACCTGCCTCCTTCCCCCAGTATATGTCATTCTAAAGCTTCTAAATCTCCTTCATCATCATCATCATCTCTCTCTTTCATCCTCCTTTTAATCTGTTTCCTCTCTCAGAGCCCCTATTTTTTGTTCACTGCCCCCTTGAGTTTTGCCCTTTCCTCTCCTGACTTAAAGTTGTTGGGGAAAAGACCCATATTTCATCTCTATGGAAAATTATTTGTGTGCAATCAGGGAGCAGGGAGAACGGAGACACCTCCGGAAGGTTTCCAGAGCTAGTGTCCTGTTCCTGGGATGAACCAAGCTATGTCCCAGTGAGACTCACCTTGACAAAGTCAGAGGGGTTTAAAGTGTCACCCATTTTCACCACCAGAGGGCAGCAGACAACCAGCTCTTTGCTCCTTGATCTCTTGCCTCTCAGTTTCTCCCTTTCTTTCCCAGCGGTCTCTGATGGCTCAAAGGCCTTTGGATGGACAGGTGGAAGAGTTCAGAAGCATGGAAAGCTGTAGATAATACCCTTTGTAGCTGCACTGACAATGGCCCTAAGCAGTCAAACCTGGTCCCCAAAGTCATACAGCAAAATCTGGCAGATTTCAACATGAAGCTCAGTTCGGCGGGACCCTGGAAAGCACTGGGGAGAACCAGTCCTAGATCAATTGTAAATACATGGCCTAGGCCAAGAAGAGAGTTAACTTCTCTGCTGATCTTATAAGAGTGATGAGCAGAGAGAGAATGCTAGTATAGGGAGCCGGTACACAATGATGAAGCCTATACATACAAGGGTACTGATGATACTGGAGGAAAAAGCCTGGGGACTGAACCTCTTAGATCTGGTCTGAATTACTGTGGGAAAGTGTTTGAGCTCATCTCAGACTCCAGTGGTGCCATCTGTAACCTCTCCAGCATGCTTGGGGACCATATGCTGATGCATAGTGCTTCCTGGTCTGTGTCAAATGAAGAACTTGATTTTTCTGAGACCCTAGTTATAGTGTTTTTGTTGTTTTGCTTTTGTTTTTGTGCTGCCACTGGGGCTTCAATTCAGTCCCATGCCCTCACTTGGATTTTTTTCACCTGAAATGGGGGCTGTATCCACTTGAGTCACACCTTTGCTTCTGACTTTTTGCTGGTTAAGTGGAGAGAAGAGTCTCATGGATTTTTCTGCCCAGATTGGCTCAGATCTCAGCCCCCTGAGTAGATATTACAAGAGACATAAGCCACCAGCTTCCCACTATTGCTGAGACCCTGGGATGGAACCTGTGGTTTAGCAGAAGAAATAAGACCAGGTGGGCCTGGATGGTAGAAGCAAAGCCACCAGACTGGGCACCTTTACATACACTTTTATGGTTGTTAGGTGCTCTGGACAACAGCTGGAGGCCAACAGAGTCCCTAGACGTGGTGCTCAGGGTGATGTACTGACCATGAGCGGGTGTTTTCCAGTTGCTGGCCTCCGATGCCTGTCTAGGGTAAGTGGGTCCCTCTAGGATGGGGCCTGTGCCCCCGCTTTTCCAACATGGGCTGGAAAGAGCCCATCCAGCCCCCTTGCAGGTTTGTCCTCCCCTCCACTGGAGCTCCACCAATGCCTGGAAGCGCCCATCTCAGGGGTGGGGTCTAGATGCTTTACAGCCTCAAGTCCCAACCCCTGAGACTCCCAGTGGGTTGTTGGTGAAACCACAGGATGAGTCTAGAGATGAGAGGGAAGGGACAGTTCAGTTAGGGAGACAGGAAGCCAGGTTCAAACCCCAGCTCAAAAGTGAGGAGCTTGGACTTCTTCTGTTTCGCAAGGTTGCTTGGCCTAAGAATATTAAAAAGTGTTGCGTGAGTGAGTCCAGGTCTAGCATCCATCTCATGAACTGGGGCACACAACTAGGGCAGAGGGGAGAATGGCAGCAATGGATATTTCTGCATCCGCACAGATATGTCTGCCCTCCTATACAGCCATTGACAAGCATAGGTGGCAGGGACATGCAGCTATGGGCTCCTGCTGTCTCCATATGCTTGCCTTTTTTGTCCCCTGATACTTCCCTGTTGTCCCCCATCCTCTCCCATGCTGCCTCTCCTGCACCATTCCCTTCTGAACATGAGACCCTGGCTCAGGGTCTTATTTCCTGGACCCCTCCTCCCCTTTCTTCCTATCTGACAGTCTGATTCCACTCTCCCCTAACATGATGACTTCCCAGCATCCTCTCCTTTCCCCACTCCCTTCCTCCCTCTGTCTCTGCTTTTTCAGCCACCGCTGCTGTCTCTCCTCTCCCTTACCTGTCTCCCAGGTTTGCCGTGGCCTGGTGGGGGCTTCTACCTCCCCAAGCCCCACTGCTTCTCCTGCTGCTTGCTTGCTTCGGACTCTGGCAGAAACCATGGCAGAAATCCCAACTGCTGACTCGTTCCTCCCAGGGAACTGGCAAGTGATTAGTGACTAGCTGTCAGCACAGGACTGGAAAAGTCCCTGCAGATGTTACCTGTGTCCTGTCCCTGGTCCTCTGCACGGTACCAACCACTTTGTCTGGCAACAGCTCCCCTAAAGAGGCTTCTCTGGGTTTTGTGTGGTTGGCATACCCAGAAGGCTTGGCATTTGCTGTCCCCAAGCTTTGGAGGATGCTAGGAGCCTTTGCTGGAGCCTGGCTCTGTGTTGACCACTGCAGCCTGATAGGCCATTAGTCCAGCAAAGACCAAAAGGAGAGTAAGCTAACTGGTTCCCTCTCTCTGCCTGTTAGAGTGAGTGGAGTGTTCCCGACACCCTTTGTGCTCACCAAGCACACAGGCCACCGGAAGTCTCCCCATCTGTCTAGTCCAGGAACCTCCCAGAGGCCTGGCTTTAAGCCTAGCATGGTCCCCGGCCCCTGGACATCAATCCCAGTGTGGTTAACTGAGAGATAGCAAGAAGGGTCCGGTAGGGACAGCAGGGCTGGTGCCTGGGGGGGGGGGGGGGGGGGGGGGGTGGGAGGGACTGGGGAGGGGGCAGAGAACTGCTTGCTCCTCCAGCGTAACCAGCCCTTGGGTCCTCCTCAGGTCTTCGACGGGCCAGCACCCTTGGCCGAGGCCCGCTAACCAGCCTCTCCTCGGCCGGCTCCTGCCGCGCCGCCTCTCGCTTGCCCCCTCCTCCTGCTGCTTCTCTCCCCCCTGCTCCCAGGACGGCGGGATGGCGGCGCAGGGCGCGCCTCGCTTCCTCCTGACTTTCGACTTCGATGAGACCATAGTGGATGAAAACAGCGACGACTCGATCGTGCGCGCCGCTCCGGGCCAGAGGCTGCCCGAGAGCCTGCGTGCCACCTACCGCGAGGGCTTCTACAACGAGTATATGCAGCGCGTGTTCAAGTACCTGGGTGAGCAGGGCGTGCGGCCCCGGGACCTACGCGCCGTCTATGAGGCCATCCCCCTGTCGCCGGGCATGGGCGACTTGCTGCAGTTTATAGCCAAGCAGGGTTCCTGCTTCGAGGTGATTCTCATCTCCGACGCCAACACCTTCGGTGTCGAGAGTGCGCTGCGTGCCGCCGGCCACCACGGCCTCTTCCGCCGCATCCTGAGCAACCCGTCGGGGCCCGACTCCCGGGGACAGCTGGTCCTGCGGCCCTTCCACACCCACAGCTGCACGCGCTGCCCGGCCAACATGTGCAAGCACAAGGTGCTCAGCGACTACCTGCGCGAGCGGGCTCGCGACGGCGTGCACTTCGAGCGCCTCTTCTACGTGGGCGACGGCGCCAACGACTTCTGTCCCATGGGGCTGCTGGCGGGCGGGGACGTGGCCTTCCCGCGCCGCGGCTACCCGATGCACCGCCTCATCCAGGAGGCGCAGAAAGCCGAGCCCAGCTCCTTCCGCGCAGGCGTGGTGCCCTGGGAAACCGCCGCCGACGTGCGCCTCCATCTGCAACAGGTGCTGAAGACGTGCTAAGGACCGCCGCCGCCTGCAGGGGGCGCTCGAGGCGCCGGCGCGGAGAAGGGCCTGGGCCCAGCGGGAGGGGTGGGGGAGTGGGAAAGACAAACCTAGTTTTACCATTCCCTCTTCCCTTTCGCTTTGCTACGTCCCTCCGGGAATTTCTGGAGTTTTGTCCATGGGAAGGGGCGGGGGAGGGAGGGCAGGGGAGGGGAAGGGGCTGGGAGCGGGGTTCGGAGCCGTCCCTATCTATGCAGTTAACCCAGCTCGGCTGCCGCCTCCCCGTTTCCACTGCAAACGATCAATCCAGGAGTCTGGCCCAGCGAGGGAGTGGCGTGCAGGCCTCTAGAAAGGTAGCAGTGTTTCCCAAATATCCTGTCTTCCCAACTTGGAGGAAGGGGCTTGCTGGAAGGTGCGAGAAGGAACAGCTCCCACTGCTTTTAACTGTTGCCTTGGCCTGTGTAACCTCCCCTCCCCCAGCCTTCTCTCCAAGAGCCCCAGGATTCCTCCCCACATTTGCAAAGCCGCACACCAGACTCCCCGGCGGACAGATGACAGCTCCAGGCCTCCTAGATCTTGCTTCCGCCACTGCAACTCCACCCTATTGCTGTTCTTGCCTCATCCTCGGCCCCCCCAGCCCATCCCACCAATACCCCTGAGCCAGGAGGAACCATCGCTTCCTGGTTTCGGGACGAGGTAGCACACTGTCCACTTCACGTTTAAGGCCAACCAGGGACCTCTGAGCGTGAGTGTGTCCCTCGCACCCCAGCCTCGTCTATGCAGCAAGAGACCAGGGACTTCACCAAAGTCGTCCTCCACGCCCCTCTCCTCCCCTATGGAACCGAAAGCCATGATGTTTTTAAGCAGAGCCAGGGAAGCCCAAGGTCCTCTTCCCTCTGGTGTTTTAAACCTATAAAAGGAGGTGAAGAGGGACGAAGTGACTGAGCTCTCTTGCGCCGTATTCTGAGGAGTGAGATAACTGTTTTTCGAAACCCCATTTAAGTGGGGTGGGGGGAGATCTTCAGCTTGAGGAGCCAAGACTGAATGCAAGCAAAGGGCAGAAGGATAAGGAACAGCCAACGGCTGCTCCAAATGGGGATAGTTGCAAACGGGTGGTGATGGTGAGATCTGGAACCCTCCATAGGGCTCTACTTAGCAAGGGCCTTAGAAACCAGGTGACTTGCCACACACACACCCCACCCCCACTCTGCCCTTTTAGTCTTGCAGGACAGTCAGTTGGAGATTATCAGAGTTTTATTACCAGCAGGCACTTGCAGGTAGAGAGCCCCACCATGCATGCAGTAGGGACCTCTGGACAAGGTCACCAAACTCCTTGGTCTCCAGTTCTTTCTCACCTGTAGCTGGGCCTCTTCTGTCTCCACTAGGGCCTCCTTCCCATTGCAATAGGGGAAGGAACTGAGCTCCAAGCCTAGAGGTGGACAGGTCTCATCTAGACTTGACTGGAGCTGGCTTTGGTCTGGGGTTCAAGGCTCTGTGGGGACAGTTCCTGAGTTCCTGCAGGGAGAGCCCTGGGCGGTCAAGGCAGTCAGCAGCTGGGCTCCACGTAGTTTCCTGGAAAGAATCCGGTGCCCTCCGAGCTGACCCCCTCACACCAGCCGTCCGAGTAGCGGCGGGTGACGCAGATGGTGGTGCCCGCAGAGAAGGAGAGCTCGTTGTCCTTCTGACCGGTGTATGGATACAGTGTCACCACTGCGGGGCAAGAGGAAAGGGTGCCCCTTGTAAGGTGTGCCTCCTGTCCTTATCCAGAGTGAGGATGCAGGGGCCAGAGTCCTGAACTCTAGGGAACCTCTGAGGGTGAAGGCCACAGGGAAGAAGCTTCTTTCAAACCTGGAGCCCCTCCCCAGCTCAGGTAATATTCAATATTGTGTCAGCCTAAGTCAGAACTCCATCCGGAAAAAATGGGGCATCTATGTTCACCTTGGCAGCAGGAAGAGAAAATACCTCTGAGGGAGGTAGAAAAGTTGGTGGGAGGGCTGGGAAGTTGGCTCAGTGGTAGAGCGCTTGCCTTGCATGCCTGAGGCCCTGGGTTCGATTCCTCAGCACCACATAAGCAAAAAGAAAAAAACCCGGAAGTGGCGCTGTGGCTCAAGTGGTAGAGCGCTAGCCTTGAGCTGAAGAGCTGAGGGACAGCGCCCAGGCCCAGAGTTCAGGCCCATGACCTGACCCCCCAAAAAAAAAGTTGGGGGGAGGGACAACAGAGTCTAGAACCCTGGCAACAAGATCTGGTGACCTTTTAGTCCCACAAGTCCAGGTACCTTTCTCCAGGTATGCAGCAGGGACCCAGCTGGGCTCATCGCTTCCAAAGCCTGGCGGGGGCGGGGGCAGCACACTCAGTTCGCTGTCATCTTCCAGGGCCGGAGGCGGGGGCAGGTCCAGGGGCGGGGGCAGCTCTGCGGGGGGGGGGGGGAGGAGGAATGCAAAAAGTCTGCCCCTGGGGCACTGGCCACGCCCACATGCCGGTCGGGACCCTGCTGGGCTGGAGGAGACCCTAGGATCGGGCGATTTCAGGCAGTGTCCCTAGGACACACCCATCGGGGTCCTCCCACAAGACCACCAGCCCGTGGCAGCTGCTCAGAAACCTTGGAGGGGCAGCTTATTAGCTGCAAGGTCGCAGCCTCAGCTGCTTAACTAAGCAGGAAGATGATCTGAAGGTTAGCCTGGCCCGGGTGGCTCACACCTGTAATTCAAGCTACTCAGGAGGCTGAGATCTGAGGATTCACAGTTGGAAGCCAGCTCAGGGCAAGAAAGTCCCCTGAGCCTCAACCAGCAAAAAGAAGTGAGGTGAGGCTCCAGGGGTAGAGCACTAGTCTTGAGGGAAAAAAAAAAAAAAAAGCTCAAGGATCGCGCCTAGGCCCAGGACCGCCCCCTCCACGGTGGGCGGAGCTGGAGCCCCGAGGAGGGGGGGGGGCGCCCCTTACCTGGCGGGGGCGCAGACAGCACTTCCAGAGGTGGAGGAGGCAGGAAGACTTCGGTTGCCACGGGCGGCGGCGGCAGGGCTGGGGGTGCGGCTTGCCCCTTGGGTTGGGGGACCCCTTCGGCGCTGCTGAAGGCCAGGGCAAAACCAAGTTGAGGGGCACGGCGTGTCCCGGGGACCCCGCCCGCACACGCAGCGCCCCGCCCCCAGTGGTGTCCATGGTCGCGGGCCAGGGGACCCCCATCTCCACCCCACCCCCTGCCCCCCGCCGCCCAGCCACTTGGGCCTGCAGCGCTCACCCGGCCGAGGTCAGGGAAGAGGCGGACGAGGCGGACGAGAGTTTGCCGTCGGGCACCACGGGGAGCTGCACGGGCTCGGGGATCCGGGGTGGTCTCCTGGGGGTACGGGCGGAGGGAGGAGGTGGGGTGAGGGAGCGGGACGGTTGGGGCGGGCAGGGCTCAGGTTTGGCGAGGCCGGGGCGGCTGGTGGAGGGGCATCTTTGGTGCCAGGCCCCCAGTTTGGAAGGGGCACCGAGAGCTGCAGGCCGGGGATGGATGGGGACAGTCCCAGGAAGGGCGGTTTGGGTGACCCACGGGGCCGTACCCCAGCGTGGCGGACGTAGGTGTGGCAGGCGCCTTGATGCTCTTGCGAGACAGGGTCCCAGTCCGGGACAGCTGTGTGCTCAGGTCCTGGAGGGAGGGGTGGGAGGGCCGGCATCTGGAGTGGGGGAGGACAGTCCCCCACCCCATCCAGAGAGGAACTAGCAGGGGGGGGTAGAGGGGGGACAGGGGCAAAGCAAGTTCCCACTTCCCAGCCCCCGCCGCCTCTCCTCCCTCCCCGCCCCCTCCCAGCCAACCGTGTCCTGGAGCCTCGAGATGCTGCGGGTACAACCCACTCACAGTCTGAGGGCCACTTCCGCTGCACAACCACAGCGTCTGAGTGAGCCCCTCGGCCCCGCCCCTCCCCCAAACCGGCTCAGACCCCCAGAGTTTGCATGGCTGGATGGGGCTTAACTTTCATTAATCCTCAACCCAAGCCTGAGCTGAGGGAAGTGGGGAGGAGAAGCATGACTTCCAGAAACCCCACCTGTCAGGGAACTGACTCCGGCCCCTCCCCCCCCAGCTGAGGGTAGAGAGAAGCAGGGCCCAGGATCTTAAGGGGGAACTGTACAAATGATAGGTCGAACCCCATGTTCAAGAGGCCCCTCTGTAACTGATGTTCTATGTGAGTCAAGACAAGCCAGAGGACTTGAACTGAAGCACAAAGAATTAAGTTGGGGGTTTGGTAGGTAGCTTTGTGGTAAACCCTGCATGCTTACGAAATACAGGGTCCTAAATTCCATCCATAGCACCACACACCCACCAAGTAAGTTGAGCAAAAGAATTTACTGGTTTGGGGCTGGGAAGGTGGCTCAGTGGTAGAGCGTTTGCCTTGCATGCATGAGGCCCTGGGTTTGATTCCTTAGCACCACATAAGCAGAAAAAGCCAGAAGTGGTGCTGTGGCTCAAGTGGTAGAGCACTAGCCTTGAGCTGAAGAGCTGAGGGACAGCGCCCAAGCCCAGAGTTCAGGCCTCACGACCAGCAAAAAAAAAGAATTTATTGGTTTGGAGACTTGGTAACTGAAGAAGTCTAATTTCCTGGTGAGTGGGGGGGGGGGTTATATGTTAAGAACATCAAAGGGGTCATATAGATACGGATCTAATCTGGGAGGTATAAGTATGGAGAAGGGAACTGACATGAGTTGGGGGTGTCTATCTCCCAGGAGACAGGCTGAGAAGAAAGTGCCAGAGTCATGCGCTTCACCATATCCCTCTTGTGTGCCTGCAACCTGCCCCTTCCTGCCACCAGCAGCACTCGGGTAACTCTCAATGTAGTGACCTCAAACCACCAGACAGAGGAAGTTGCTGTTCTCATGTGGCTGGGGAACCATTCCCATACCCACCCTGACGTCCTCTCTTCCCCTTCACACATACACCCACCTGTGCTCAGAATCTCACTCATCACATCATCTGACTATAGGGTAAAGACCAACTTTGGGGGAGGGCATCACAGAAGGATGAGATCTGAGGGTGGAGGGGGGAAGGGTTCGAGATGATGGCTTCTGGGAATGAGGGAAGAAGGGTTGCAGGGTGGAATGCAAATATGAAGAACAGATCCTTTGAGTCAGGAGAGTAGGTGAGGAGTGGGGAAGAGGGGCACCCTGTACCTTGATCCCATGGCCAATGTCATCCAGGCAGCCAAAGTTGAGGGGTCTCCTGTAGTAGGGTGTGAGTGGAGGGAGAGTCTCAGGAGCAATGACCTTCTGGCCAGGAGGCAGCCGCTGGACGGTGGCTAAGGTACCAATCTCCCTTCTGGCCACCTTCTCCATATGCATGTTTACCATCTGTGTGACAGGGTTTGAGATGACAGTGGGGAGGTGGTGGAGTCTGTGTCCCACACCTTCCCTTTAAGAGAGGAAGAAGACAAAGGCTTTGGTGTAAGGATGGAGCTGTCGGAGGCAAAGATGTCCTAAGAGTGAGTTTTGTCCCTTTGGGTACCTAGCAATTGGGAAAGGGTAGCAGGGAGGATGGAACCACTTTGGAGCAACTTCCTAGTGGAAGAGAATGATGGTTATTATTAGCTGAGCAGGAACAGGAAGAAGGAAAAAAATCACAATGTCCCTGGGGATGCTGGGAAAGGATTGAAGGACCTGTGGCAGGCTCTGGAGCAGAGGTGGGGTCACAGGGCAGCGGCATTGAATATAGCTGGATCAGCTCTCCCCTTCAGGGTACAAATAAGTGAAATGAACTTCCTCTTGGAATGTTCTATAGAGAAGCCTACAGTGCTGTGAAGTAAGAGGAAAGGACACCCCCCACACAGGTGATGATGCATGATTAGACTAAGTGGATAGTTGGACCTGTGCGTGTGCTTTAAGAGGCAATCCCTTGGTCAAGGATCCAGGAAGGAAGGCAGAGGGTGTGTATATGAGAAGGAAGGGGCTCTTCGTGACCTGCCAAGCAAATACCCTAAGTGAAGGAAATTCATTAAGACCTTGTTTCTATTTCTATGTAAGCAGGATCATTTTGCATATCTTCTGTATTAGTAAAGAATCATAAATCACAGATAAAATTTTCATATGTCCAGGGTGGCATTCAGAGGAAAAAATATATATATATTTAGGGGCTGGGAAGGTGGCTCAGTGGTAGAGTGCTTGCCTTGCATGCCTGAGGCCCTGGGTTCGATTCCTCAGCACCACATAAAGAAAAAAGCCGGAAGTGGCACTGTGGCTCAAGTGGTAGAGCGTTAGCCTTGAGTTGAAGAGCTGAGGGACAGTGCCCAGGCCCCACGACTGGACCCCCCCAAAATATATATATATATATATATATATATATTTAAAGTGCCTTCAGGGAACTCATAATGGAATGGGGCAGCAAGTCCCCTGTCTGAGACACAGAGACAGGAAGACCCCAAAAGTTTAAATGGAACAAGCACTACTAGCTACTCTGGAGGCTGAAATCTGAGGATCATAGTTTGAAGCCCTCCCAGACAAACAAATCTGTGTCTCTTATCTCTAATGGACTAGGAAAAAGCCAGAAGTAGAGAGTTGTGGCTCAAATGGTAGAGCACCAGCCTTGAGGAAAAAAAAATCTAAGAAACAGTTCCGGTCTGGAGTTCAAATTCCAGTACCAGCGCTCTCTCTCTCTCTCTCTCTCTCTCTCTCTCTCTCTCTCTCTCTTTCTCTCTCTTTCTCTCTCTCTCTCTCTCACACACACACACACATACACACAGAGCTTAAGTGAAGTTGGGCAAGCAGACATGGAGAATAGCATAAAGGGGATTTTGCTGCAGAAAATGACTGAGTGAGCCCAAATAGTTGGAGGTCAACACAACACACCTTCCCACCCCCTTACCTGGCCTAGAGTGCTCACACGGGCTTCCACCTGCCGCAGGGCAGCCCCCTGTAGGTCCAACATGCGCAGAGTGTGCCCAGCCAGGTTGCCCACCTGGTAGGCCACACTGGCCAGAGCCTGGGTAGTGAAGGCCATGGTCTCCTCCAGTGCCTTCCGCTTGTCTGTGGCCTGAAATACACACAGGCCTGGTTGGAGGCCAGCACACTCCACTGGGGCCTTGGCTGACTGGGGTGGAATGGGAAAGGACCTAGAAAAGGCAGGAGCTGAAGTGGGAGGAAGCAGCAGTCCCTCTTAGAGGAGGTTTCTAGAAAAATGATATAGTCAGAAGACTCGGGCCATTAGAAAAGCGAGTTTGTAGCCCTGGAGACAAAGCCACCACTCCTCCAATAAAACCCTTACTGCCTTCCTGAGGACTTGAGCAACAAGGAGCTATTTGGGGGTTATAGAATGCACAGTAGAAAGGAAAGAGGAAGGTATTGCTTGTTGCAAACATTCTTAAAAGCTAAAAGCAGAGTGACATTGTCCAAGAAAAAATATACACACTGCCTGATTTATGTAATCCCTCTTTACATTACCTTATAATAAAACAAAAAATAAAAACAACCACGTGCCAGTGGCTCACATCTGTAATCCTAGCTAATCTGAGGATCAAGGTTAAAAGCTAGCCTGGACAGGAAAGTCTGTAAGACTTATCTTCAATAAACTACCAAAAAGCTAGAGGTAGAGTTGTAGTTCAAGTGGTAGAGCACTAGACTTGAGCATAAAAGCCCCGAGTTCAAGCCCCAGGACTGGCACATACATACTCAGAAAAAGGAAACATTAAAAACTAATATAGCCCAGACCTTCAAATTGGTGTCTCCTAGAGTAATACAAGAAGTCCATCCTGGATGGTTCTCAGAAGTCTCTGTGCTTCGTTTAACCTCCTCTGCAGGTTGGTGTTTGGACACTCACCTAAGGAAACTGTGGCCCAGAATGGGGTCACTTCCCTCACTCATTCTGTCCAGTTCTCAATGTGCTGAGAATAAAATCCAAACTTCTGAACACGGCAGCCTCACATACAGACCATTCAAGTCTGCCTTCTACCTTTCTCTTCACTCATTCCCTGCCCCCACTCCCTTGCTTTACTTAACCCTCTTCAGCTGTTCTCTTCCTGTGCAAACTAGATGATTTCTACCTCCCAGCCTTTGTATTTAACGGTAGTTCCTAGAATCCTTTTCCCTAGTAAGTTTCAGCTTCTCAGCGAGGTCTTCCTTTCTCCAACCTAAGCTTCCCCCAGGCCCACCTCTCTGTTGCTATCATAATTACCCTGATTTCTTTTTTCTTCATAATCTTTAGCACTATCACACATTATCTATTTGCTTGTTTTAGTGGGGGTGAGGGGAGGATACAGGTGCTTAAACTTAGGGACCCATACTAGGTTAAAGCTCTACCATTTGCTAGGTTCCCAGCCTATTTGCTTAGGTAGCTCACGCCTATAATCCTAGCTATTCAGGAGGCTGAGATCTGACAATCAAAGCCAGCCAGCCTGAGCAGGAAAGTCCGTGTGACTCTTATCTCCAATTAACTACCAGAAAACCAGAAGTGGTGCTGTGGCTCAAGTGGTAGATCGCTGGCTTTGAACTGAAGAGCTCAGGGACAGTGCCCAGGCCCAGAGTTCAAACCCCATGACAAAAAAAAAAAAAAATTGCATACATTTGTCAAGGTTGGACTTGAATTGGGATTTTCTTATCTCCACCTTCCGAGCAGCTCAGATTACAGATGTGAGCTACTATAGTCAGCTTCTGTTTAACTTCTCTATGTCATCTATTCTTAGCCTCTTCACACACACAAAAAAAAGTAAATGCTGTGAGAGTAGGAAGTTTGTCTGTTTCACTGTGTATCCTAGCCCAGAGCAGTGCTCCCCACATGTAGAAGACATTTAATAAATATGCATTTGTAGATTGATTAACAGATTGAATAGAAACTGAAATCTTTGCTGGGCATCATGCTACTGCATTCCTGACGCTGGCGGCGTCACACTACTGGTTAGTAAAGGAGCAGTGGGCAAGGAGTGGCTGAAGACAAAAGAGGATTTTTGTCAGTTCCAGA